TATTAGACTTGTTCAGTCACATTTTTGTTAAGATAGTGCTTTAAATACTAGAAACTGAGCTATGTTGGGGCTCCAGAAATTCCTAAGAATATGTAATGCTTTTGCCGCTGTTTTTTTAAATGTAGGAAAGGGTACAGTATTCTACATTAATGACAAAACTAATTTATTTTGATTGAAGCAGGGACAGGCTGCAGTTTAATGGACTGGTTTTGTGTTTGTTCAAATGTGCATTTTACTTACTTGAACTGTTGTGACAGTAAACATGTACAAGTACTTCCAAGACTGGGTCCACTCAAACTGAAGGGTTTCTCCACTTAGGGAGTATTTTTAAGTGTTGCCATTGATAACCTGGAACCCAGAAAATGCCCAATCCAGTGAACAGCAGAGTCCTAGGCTCTGACCTCTGGCACCTGTGTGCTTTACCATCTTCCCTTTGTTTGGATGGTGCTTGTGAACTTTAAGTAGGGGTTCACCTTTTCAATGCAAACACAGATTGAAGAATTATTCCTTCTGAATTTTCATCTTTGGGAGCTTCACTGAGTAATTACCTCCTTCAAACACTGAAGTATACTTTTGCTGTCATTTTAAGATAGCTTTTAAACACGAAGAAAAGTGAAGTGGACCTAACACCTGCATTAGGAAGCACAGCCATTACAATCCTTGTTCCTGCAGATCTATTACTGATAATTCCTCTTACAATATTGTTTGTTCAGAAATAGTGAAAAAGTTCTTTAAATTATTGCAATAATAAAATTCTATTTTTGTAAAGATGTTTCTTCTTATTTATTTTTTTAAACAAGATGTTTTCCAGAAGCAAAATGCTTTATATGCTATCCAACATCTGCCTGCAAAATTAGCAGAGGAAACAGAGTTGCCTCAGATAAAATGCTGCATTTCTACTATGCGTCCTAGCTTATCTATAAAAAGTTCTAAGACAAAAATATTAGAACTTGTCAAACACTCAAAACACTAAGCCAGTTTAAAAATACACTTCAAGGTTCCAAATATCAGTATAGTTCTTTTCTAGCTGTTCCTGAGGTTGTGACCATTACTTACTGCTGTGTCCAGCCAGAGGTCTGTCATGAGTTGTAGTAGATAAAAGCTTGTAAATTACAGAGCTTTGTGTCAGACTTTTCTTTTTAGACCCAGATATCACCAGCATCCCCTAGTCCAGCCAGAAGGAACATTTATGGAACCAGAGTAACCTATCATTTCACATTACAGAGGGTATCAAATTTTGGGCATCTATGAAAAAAACATCATATTTAAGTAGAAGTAAAATACTACCACAAATTTATAAAATGTTTAAGGAAAGTTATGTAGCCGTTTTTATAGTAAATCACAGGGCAATTTGTATTGGGGACAGAAAAATCACAGGACTATTTTCCAGTTATTTTTTCTAAATAAGAGGTATGCTTCTCAAAATTCAGACAGGCCTTCCTTCTTTCTGCCCTACACTACGTTCCTCAACCTGACGTACGACTTCAGTCAAACAATCCTGTAGAACAGACTCCTTTCCTGAAAATACAGTTGTTAATTCCATCCTAACTATAACATCAAAGCAGAAAGCAACTGTTCCCTTCAATCTACTCTGTTTTTCAGCAGTGCCTATCTTACATATTCAAGCTAAACACTTGATTTAGAAGACCTGGTCTCTGCTATAAATCCTTCCTGATATAATACTTCAAAGAATCACAATCCTAACTGACATTTTTATACCAACAGAAGGAGACTTTATATTTCATTTAAGAAGCTGGGAAAGTTACAGTGGAAGAAAGTCTTTTGCTGATACAAATTGTAGCTGTACTGCAGATTTTGCTAATACAGGGCTAGTGACAAGTCCAGCTAGAATTGCCTTATTAGAGGGAAAAGACCAGCATGCACTAAAGGTATAGGCTAAGTTATTTTATTCTGAATGGAGATACCCTACAGTCAATCCATGCCAGAGTTATAGACATAAAAACATCAGGATATATTTGAATCAGGTCTCAGAAGTATTTTAAATGGCATTAGCTACCACAACTTAAAAACAAGGATCAATTTTGTTCTGCCTGTATTTACCCCATAGGTGGCACATAAAGTAATCTGCACAGTTCAGCTGTAAGCTCCTGAACTCTTATGAGCAAAGCTACATGTATGTTCAGAGGCAAGACAGAGGCAGCTAGCACCTTGAACATTCCTCTGGGAGCAGGTTTTACTACTGGAATGAACACTTTACATAGCAGTACTCCAGCCATTTAAAGAATCTATCTTCACACTACTACTTAGATCTAGGCAACAGTCTTCTGATTAACACTTAGGAAGAAAATATGCCTTCTGCTTGCTAATGGAAACTGCTTCGGGGTCTTTTCCTAGTATACTACCATTAAAAACCCTCTGCTGGAAAGGAAGAAGGATGGGCTGATCAAAAAGCAGTAAAAGTTCCGGATTCCTCCTGCTCATATTGTTATTTTTACATAGCCCTGGAAGCCACAGGCACTACAAAGTCTTTCTTTTTTTCCTCCAAAGGAAAAAATAGTTGAAAAAATGTGCAAATTTCCCAGGTAGCTGAGGCAATTCCAAGGAAATGAAACTATTCCTTTCAATGTTTAAGGAACGTTAGCGTAAATCTTAATTGTGGAGAAGGGAAATGAGGCATGGGAAATAGCTGCATGTATCAGCTTTACACATAGCTAAAATACAGGATGGATAAAAATGGATGCCTATGAAAGTCTGCATGGTGGGTTGACCATGGATGGATGGTAGGTGCGCACCAAAGCCACTCTGCCACTCCCCTCCACAGCTGGGCAGGGGGGCTGGAAAATAAGATGGAAGCTTAGTGGGTCAAGTTAAAGGCAGGGGGAGATCACACCAAGTACTATTACTGGCAAAACAGACTCAGCTTTGGGAAGATCAATGTGACTTATTACCCATCAGAGTATGATAAGGAGAAAATAAAACACTCCTCCCTTATTTCCAGGCTTTACTCATGAATTCACCATCTCCTCTCCCAGCAGTGTGGGGAGGCGGGGAATGGGGGTTGTGGTCAGTTCACCACACATCATTTCTGCTGTCCCTTCCTCCTCAGGGGGAAGACTCCTCACACTCTTCCCAGGCTCCACTGTGAGGTCCCTCCCACAAGAGATAGTCCTCCACCAACCTCTCTAGTACAAGTCCTTTTCACAGACTGCAGTTCTTCATGAACTGCTCCAGCATGGGTCCCTTCCACAGGGTGCAGTCCTTCAGGAACAGACTGCTCCAGCATGGATATCCACAGTGTCACCAGTCTTGCCAGCAAACCTGCTCCAGTGTGGGCTTCTCTCTCCATGGGGCCACAAGTCCTGCCAGGAGTCTGCTCCAGCACAGGATTACCATGGGGTCACAGCTTTCTTCTGGGCATCCACCTGCTCCACCATGGGGTCCTCCATGGGCTACAGGTGGATCTCTATCCCCCATGGACCTTGATGGGATGCAGGGGTCAGCCTGCTTCACCATGGTCTGCACCACAGACTGCAGGGGAACCTCAGCTCCTGGAGCACCTCCTCCCCCTCCTTCCCCACTGACCTGGGTGCCTGTAGAGTTGTTGCTCTCACATATTCTCACTATTCTCTCTGGCTACACTCACTGTTGCACAGTTTTTTTCCCCTTAATATATTACCCCCAAGGCTGATGAGCTCGGCCTTGGCCAGCGGCAGGTCCATCCTGCAGCCAGCTGGCATTGGCTCTGTCAGATACAGGGAAAGCTTCTGGCAGCTTCTCACAGAACCAACCTCTATAGCCCCCTCACTACCAAAACCTGGTCATGCAAATCCAGTACGGTCAGAGATGTTTTCACATTTAGAGATGCTCCCCTCATCACAGAAGGAATAGAGAGAAATTGCCAAATGCTGGTCACAGAGAGCAAGACTCAAGATCATTTTCCAGTGCCCAACTCTAACCAGTTCTGGAGAGCTGAACACAACCTGGACCAGCTGGGACAAAGAGAGGGACCACAAACTGTGAAGAATAGCTCAGGGGTAGGAGTGGAGAGTTGGAAGACCTGATACTTCCCAACTATCTGTCTTATTTGGGTGGTAAAGCATTAATCCACACATGGCTGGGACAGGTTTGAATAAGTGTAACAGAGTCTGGCAGGATATGTGGAAACAACTGAAGGACGCTTGTGGGTGTAAAAACTAGGTCTAGTTAAGAAAAAGTCAGGAATGCCTCCATAGGAAGCTCCCAAGAACCACACTTGAGCTCCCAAGAGCTCTCAAATCTCCTTCATAACAGCAGCTTGGCTAAGTGCAAGACCATGCTTGGGCAGGGAAGTAGAGGGGACTCACACTGCAAAATGAAGAGAGACAAAGCTCATCCCTCTGTTCCTTCTGTGTATGATAAAGCAGTAAGTGTAGATAACAATCATATAGGCTGTGGCAGAACAGTGGAGAGACCAGAGGCTTCATTTTCCAGACCAGCTGGAAGGCAATTCTTCTTTGGCACATGCCAGGCTCGTGAATTTTACAGCAATACTTTGCAGCAAGGAATACTTAAGTAATCAAAAAGTCTTCTGTGTTTCAGGTGTGCCAGAAAGGAAGCAAACTTACTAACACTCAAGACAATTCTCTTCATTTTCTTCTATTTTTTCCCCTCTCTTACATCATACAACAATGTTGTTCAATTAAAATATACACTAGCTTCCACTTATTTTCCATTCCTGTTAAACAGGACAATATTAAGGCCCTCTACAGTTTAAGAAAGCTTGAAAACACTGCCTTGACTCTCTCCCGCTCTTTTTGCATGAAGTTTCTCACTGCATAAAACCAAAATAGGCCAATTAACCAAACTACCAAACCAAAATTTGCCATTTAAATATACCATTGTTTTACAGTTAATTTTTGAAAATGTTTAAAAGAAAATGCATTTTTTTCCATGATGAACCTGATAATTTGAGATAATTAACTCTGCACAATATAGAGAACTCTGAACACCCCAAGCATTTTAAGTGTTGGAATATGGGGTGAAAGAAAAGTGGCAATGACTTCCCAGATTAATAATCCTTTTATTATTAACATATAAGAATCATGGTTTCAGAAAGTTCATTTTATTAAGTGTCCCCATAAATGTGGGTTTTTTAATATTCAAAAATACCCAACTTTTACAATTTCAAGTTTCAGTGCTTTGAGCTACAGAAACAGGAGCATATAATAATGAATTCCTCCAACATACTCAATTCACAGATTTACAAGGCAGAAGGAATATCAGAATTATTGAAGTTTGACCTCCTGTAAAACATGAGTTTTGGGCTTCCCTGATTTAACCTCCATTTCAGTCCAGTAACTAGGGGATTTTCTTTAACAAAAACACCAATGCTGCTGTTTCATAGAACATAACCAACAAAATTAGCAAGCAGACGCACTACTTCTTGAGTTTCTTTTGAGCAGCCTTTTTCTTGACCATCTGTAACCTTTTCATAGCATTGAGCTGAGATTCCTGAGAAGTTGGGCCCTTTAGGGAGGCTGACTGATTACCAGTATCCGCAGTGGTTTTACTCGTGCTGCCCCCGCTGTTCCCTGAATTCCCGCTGTTGCCGTTCCCGCTGCTCCCCTGGCTGCTGGTGCTTGGTGTGGCGCTGCTGGGACTCGGGAGACCCACTTTGCTGACGTTGTCGCTGCTCACTGAGCGGCTCAGGGTGGTTTTCCCCAGTGTCAGAGGTGGAGGAGGTTTCAGCTGAACAGGGTTTGTGCTGTTGTTGGCAGAAGCTATTTTTGACCCTAGTCCTGTTTTTGAAGTTGCCAACCCTGACAAACCCACAGGTTTCTGGTTATTTGAAGAAGCTGCTGGTTTCCCACTGGCACTCTGTGTTGTTGATCCCAGTTTGGCAGTTGATGGATTGGCAGAGGAGGTTTTGGCTGCAAAAGCAGCCCATCCTGTAAGGCCACTTGTTGCTGAAGAGGAAACACTTGTACTGGCAGAGTTCCCCGAAACTGCTGCTGAGGTCTAAAATAAAAAAGCATTCTTATTATAGTAGCATCTATTTGTGCAACACATCACAGTAGGAATACATTGAGCCTCTGTTTCAGTTCTTTTCCCAGGATCAACCAATGGACAATATTTCATCACTGCTTACTGCAGTTGAAAGTACTAATACGAACAAGAAAGGATGCCAGGTGCAGCCAACTTTTAATCTCCCAGCCACATGGAACAAATAATACCTTTTTTCCCCTTCCTTCTATACAGTACCATACAGCATTGTGATCCCTCTATGAACAATAGAAGTCCAAATTTGTGAACTATATAAAAGGTGGTGGCTTGCCTTCCTTTTTTTTCTTTTTACTGTTGTTACCTGGTGTCACTTGTTAACAAGATGACAGATGCTTGGATAAAAATCAGACATTGAGCAATTTATTATTGCATTTATTACAGCCTTTTGGTCAAAGTAGCAGTATCTAAACTGTTTCCTTTCCCTCCCTTGGTTCTTAGAAGCCTGTACCACAGAGAGAATAAAAAAAAAAAAAAAGAAGTCACTGCACTTTTTTCCTGTAGGTGTCTTCCCATTCAGGTACTGCAAAACACAAACCTTCTGCATACATGGGCTCCCTTGCTTGCAAAGTGCTATACACATTACCCGAGTTCCCACACCTTAAACCCTATAACCCTCAGGTTTCAGATGGGGATGATATGTTGCGTTATTAAACCAGAGTTATAGCAAATGGTAGAGTTAAAATGAAAACTAAACCCCTCTATTTAAGTAATATCCTTTTAACAGTATTTCCAGACAGTTTCTAAACAGTAAAGATGATGGATGCAATCAGGCCTCAGGTCTTACAACCCATTTAGGCAAATAAATAAGTCTGCTGAGGTGAAAAAAGTATTCACAAGTATAAGAGCTTGAGCAATACCCATCATATTATTCATGATGGTTTGCATCCAGGCAGAGCAATGGCAAACATAACTCTAAGTTATGTTTAGTTGCTTTGATTTTGAGTTAAAGCTGTGCTTTCCTAGGTAAGGGTCAGGCTTTATTAGACTACTGTGTTGTTTACTATACTGCCTCTGGTTTACCACCTTTGAGCAACTTGTGTCAATATTTTAACTTGGGAAAAACAGAAATAGAAACAACATAGAATCATGGAATAGAATCACAGAATGGTTTGGGTTGGAAGGGACCTTGAAGGTCATCTAGTTCCAACACCCCTGCCCATGCTACCTACTAGATCAAATTATATGTAAGAAGTAGTCTCCTAAATTAGATCTCAGAGTCAGCTAGAGTTTCCCTATTATAGACTCATAGAACTGTCTAGGCCAGAAAAGACCTTCAAGATCATCAACTCAAAGTGTAAACCCAGCACGTTCAAGTCCACTGTTATCACGAGGAAAAGCCTAACTGTTAAAATACACACGTTACTTGACCACAGAGACCAAATAATATATTTTCTATGATTCATAGAATCATAGAATGGTTTGGGTTGGAAGGGACTTTAAAGATCACCTAGTTCCAACCTCCCTGCTGTGGGCAGGGACACCTTCTACTAGACCAGGTTGCTCAAAGCCCCATCCAACCTGACCTTGAAAAAATGCAGGGATGGAGCATCCACACGTTCTCTGGGCAACCTGTTCCGGTGTCTCACCACCCTCACAATACAGAATTTCTTCCTAACATATAACCTAAATTTATCCTCTTGCAGCTTACAACCATTCCCCCTTGTCCCATCACTACATATCCTCGTGAAAAGTCCCTCTCCAGCCTTCCTGTAGGTCCCTTTTAGGTACTGGAAGGCTTCCTGGAGCCTTCTCTTCTCCATGCTGAACAACCCCAGATCTCTCAGTCTGTTTTCACAGGACAGGCTCCAGCCCTTCCCAGCTCCTTTGCAGTCTCCTCTGGACCTGCTCTAACAGGTCCATGTCTTTCCTGCGCTGAGATAGCTGGACACAGTAGTTCAGGCAGGGGCTCACAAAAGTGGAGTAGAGGTGCAGAATCATGGCCATCAACCTGCTGCTGGGCCAGCTTCTTACGATGCAGCCTAGGATATGGTTGGCCTTCTAGGCTGCCAGGGCACATTTATAAAGATTTCTACTTGTACAAAATATCATTAAAAAATCCATAGCGTCAGTTCTGTTCTTTCCCTTGTAACATAAAAATACAGTCAAGAGTTGGATGTTTTAGGGACTTACTGCTGAAGTGAGGGTTTTTTCACCATTCTTTCAGTGTTAATGCTATGGTGCTGCTCAGTCTGCATAGTATAGCAGATTGTTTTCATTCATGATTCTTGTGAGAAAAGATTATAATCTATGCAGTAAAACGTAAACTTTTCCTCTGGCAAATTTAAACTACATTACCTTGACTTCTGTTCTCTTGAATGCTAGAAAAGCTGGTGGGGTCTCAGGTTTTAACTTAATTTCTGGCTTCTTGACCAATGGATCCTTCAAAGCTGGTGCAACTGACACCACTGCAGGAGCTGGTTTTTGAGGTGGCTTTTGTGTCTTCTGAGCCTGTATAAGTGGTAGGAAAAAAACATGCCAAATTAGTTACAGACCCTGTAACATTGACTGTTTTGACTGTTAACAAAAAGCATGAGCATTTTAAGATTGCAATCTAGTCTTTACAACTTCAAGTTTAATAGTCCACGGGAAATGAGGTAACAGGGGATGTGGAGACAGTGTTGGTTATGGTATTGGAGACAGGGTCCAGCCACAAAGCATCCTGAATAGAACTTGCTATTGCAGCGTGGAAAGAGTTGCAGTGGTTGCACTTATAGAACAGGAAAGCACTGGGCCTTTACAGGAATAAGGCAAAGGAAGGTGAACTTGCAGAAGAAAGGGACATAATCCAGCAGTACTGGGATGTGGGCTGCAAGAGCCTGCTAAGAAGTGGCAGGTAAAATGGCAGAATTCATGCCAAAAAAGAAAAAAGGAAAGGTCATATTGAAGGCAACTATTGAATGGCTGCAATGGCTATCCTGTGCAGGAACTGACCTTCAGCAAACACTCCTCTGAGTTCAAAGGCCTGATGATCATCAGAATAATCATGTATTTCAGTCAGTGATGATAATTCCTAGGCCAGGATCTTACATTGCCTTTTTTTCTTGTTTCTTAGTAGAGCCATTTCAACAGATAACAACTTGCTAAGTTATCACAGAGCAGTTTCAAAACACACTTTCTGCTGTATAAAAGGGTGTGATTTTAAAACGTCGGAACTAAAGTCACTAATGTTTCATGCACCCAAAGGTGCTGTCTTACTCTCATATTCGTTTCTCATAATGAGATGAGTGCAATTCCAGTGGGATCCTGTTTAGTCAAGAAATTAACACGCAAATCAATCAAAATAAAGATTTTAATTTTTTTTTTTTACTGGAATGTGCTATCCTCAGCTTTTGAGCCTGAGAAAACTCAATGTTTGAGATCTGGACTGAAATTTGCAGTCTTGTCCTACAGGAAAGCAACCATTACTATCCAAAGCTGAGAAGAAAACTAAAACTGTAGGGCTATTTGGTAGACATATGCTAAAAACTGATTATCACCCGAAATAAAAAAAATAAAAGGTTTCAACTGCTGCCTGCCAAGTAGGAAATAATCCTATTTCACTCTTCTTCACTCAACTTTTCATTTTTAAAAAACGTTTTTTAAGAAGCACATTACAGAATGCTCTTTGAGATGCTACATTAAAAAACACACCTGCAGCGAGGGAAGCACTGCTGAGAAAAACAGTATTCCAACATGCTTCCAATGATTTCTCTAACCCATAAAATACTCTCACATAGTAGAAATAGCCTGCTGTATTCAAATAGTGCTCACACGAGACAAAAAACTGACTCCTACCATTCTCTTCATCTGCCTGGTACAGCGGGCACAATACCATACAAGTCGAGGATCATTCACTTCCTTGTCTGTCACCTGAGGTTTATGGCAATCCTGGTGGTAGAGATTATGGCACTCCTGACACTCCACTAGCTGATTCACAAAAGTAACTGTCATTTGCCTGCAGAGCAAATAGTTAAGAACAGATTATGGAAGAAAGCACTTAGAGGATTATCCAATTGTTGAAAATTTTGCAAGGCTTAAGATAAAAACTAAAAATATTTTTGCTTTCACATATACTTCCTACCTTTGGCAAATGAAATGTATTCCTTTTCTTCCTGCATCAGCTCTTCCTAACTAATATTTTAGAAACTTGATATTTTTAAAAGGTATTTTTTTTCAAGAATATCTAAAACTTCCACAATATTAAACGTGTATATGACAGTTTTGATTTCTCTGTTTGATTTTTATATTAGAAATATAAGTCTTGCCTGTCTTGCTTCACCTTGGCATTTTACGGATACATCACTCTATAACAAACATGACTTCCTCATTATATTAGTATATGAAGGCCTAGTCTCCATTTGTACAATTTTGCTGTAAGCTTTAGAGCAATACAGTTCAAGAACAAATAATTTCTCAATGACAAGCCGGTAAGAGTGCTTTCTGCTACAGGATTTGAAAGCATCATCATCCAAGCTCTACACTACTTTGAAGATGTTTTATTAGCCATCCTTTTGGTCCCTACTACATAAACAGACACGTGGAATTTGAGATAATACCAGAATCATGGAAAGATGGAATAGAAAGGATTAATTGTGCAGTCCTGCCTTGAAGCAAACATGCAAGCTGGTGATGAGGACTTCATTTTGCATGGGCCTCTGTTGAAAGTAATCATGCTGTACAAATGACAAATTAGTGATATATACATGACTGGGAGTCTGCCTGTGAATTAGCCAAATACCATTTTCTTAACGATTTCTTCTTTCAGAGGACAAATCAAGCTATTTAATTGCTAAGCTGCTTTTGCTCATATCCCTGAGGAGCAGGTACCCAGGTAACCATGGAAACTCTATTTGTAGATGGGTGGGGAAAGGTAATCCCTTATTTCTTTATATAACAGAAAAATGAAGTCTGATACTACAACATTTTCTAAGAAATATTTCTCTTTTACACAGGCAATTTAAAAACAGAGGGAGAAACCTTTCTGAAATTCCAGGGTCCATTATTCTACATGCAGGATATTTGAAAGACATTTTGTTTGTTTCTCATTCCTAAGTAAACTGGATCAGAACAAAGCAGTGATTTTTCAACCTCATGTCTCAAGGTGGGAGACTCATCCTATTTTAAAATTACAAAGAACAATCCCAGACTGATTAAAAAGTCAGGAACTCTTCATGATCAGAAACAAGTTAAACCACTTACTTTTAAATTATAAGATAACTAAGAAACAAGCCTAACAATTTTTTATCATCAAAAAACAAACAAAAAGGTATTAACAAAAAATTTGAAATTTTGTTATTTCAAACCCAGTGTTTTTTAAAGATTTTTTTGGGATGAAAACTTCACAATCATCTACAAACTGCATACAGTATTTCCTCTTCATATAACTGAGGAGCCAGGTAACTGGTGGGTCCTGTTTTTGCAAGACCTACAGGTACTGGAGAAGTTGAAGTTATTTTAATATTCTCTCCCTCCTTATGCCTAAGTTGGCATAACAGAACAAGAAGGAAAACACAATAGGCATCAACGTGCAATACTCGTAATCACTATTAAAATACATTTGACACTTGGCAAACCTTGAAGAAACATTTCATGTCTCTGCTTTACTTTTTACATCTATAAAAAGGAATAGTTAATATTCGAATGCACTTTTTGCATTTGTGAACCCACAGCTGGGTTCTTGTCAACTTGTCTTCTTAAGCAATGTAAATATAAACTCTTTTGCTATGAACTCCACCTACTCTGCAATTGGACATGATGTTTTCATTCACAACTGGTTGAATAATTGAGTTATTAGAAGATGCCATTTTAAAAATACTATTCATTCTTGAGTTATTTTACAGAGTATCCAGTGCTTTTATTCTTCATATGTATGGGAATATTATCACTTTGGCCCAAGATGGCCACCCCAAAAACAGTGCACATATTGAAAGGGAGCAGTAAATAGAGGAATACTGTTTGACCAATGTGTTGGAGTCAGAACTCCGAAGCACAAATCCTCTGAAAAACATCCAGTTCAGCACTCGCTGCAGGTGAAGAACCATGTGACATCAGTCTCAGCAAGTTCTGTGTAAAATGAAAGTGATCCTGAGTGTCAGGGTGACTGTTGCCACCCCCTCTCTAATAGGTTGTTTCTTTCCCTGCAGTACTTCTCTCTCCCTCTGGCTGTTTTAGTTAGCCAGGGCAGAAAAGTCTTTTGCAAGAACAATTGAGTTGGTGACCACGAGCATGTAGAAGCAACACCTTCAGCAGCCAGGTTAAACGTTGAAACAGCTAAAGGAACCACAAACCCAGCCTGTGCTTTTCAAAGCAAAGTCTTGGCCATGCTGGGCACAGGAGTTGCATTTTCTTTAGTTTCTTTACTTTGCAGGCATTTCTCATTATGCCTGTGTTTTTCTTTGCCAGGGAAGACAGAGAATTAATAATCCACAACAGTTCAAGACTGTCTAAAAAAACTTTTTTGTTATCCATTCCTGCCAAATAACTTAATACCATACTATTCTTAGTAGCATTTTAACATACCACCAAATGGGGATTTGCCCCTTTTAGGGGACAGAAAAAGTGGAATTTGAAGGAAAAAAGTTAAAATTGAGATATTTATTTCATACTTCTTCCTTTTTCAGTGTCTCTATTAAGAAACTAAACATTTGAGCTAACATATGGAAATAACGTGACATGAAATCTCATCAGTCCACAATTGGTTACCAGTATAATTAGCTGCAACAACAAAAATTTATCACCCCTGGACTGCAGTTGTCTCCTTACCTACACAACGGGAATGACTATGAAAATGATGGAACAACAAAGTTATAATGCCCAGTTTCACAAATGACTTAAGCTGAGCTGAAATACATACTTGCTACCGAAAGGCCAGTTCCAACCCCTTCTCTGTCCTGGCTCTACATTCTTGTATCCACACATGTGCCAACACAAGCATTTACTCTCACTAAGCTGACTGAAACTTAAACCTACAGAAAAACCCAAGTGGAAAGCTGATCCAGAAGCTGATTCAGCTCATCACAAAACTCTGTGTGCAATACATCCCCTAAACAGTACAGGGAAGGAGGTACAATTGGGAGAGCCAAACTGCTCCTTTTGGCAGCAGTGGGGGCTTAACAAGGACATAAATCATCTGTGAAACCAAATCCTGGTTTGAGTGATTTGATCCTAGGGTAGATATTCAAAAGTGAATTTTATACTTCTGTTAACACTAAATCTATTATCAATTTTGGATATGTGCTTAAGTGATTTCCAGAATAAAAACTAAAAGAAGCATTAACTCAATGGTACACATTAAAAGAAAAGGTAACTACCTAGCAATGAAGCAATGTTGACTTACCTGCAAACAACACAGGCCAATCCCATTTCCATAGCAAAGTCATCAGCACTGGTTTCCTCAAAGCTAGATAAATCAGGCATGGATAAATCCTTGCTCGTCTGAACTGTAATAGGAGAGGAACGAGCCTCTTGCTTCTCTACTTTGGGCTTCTTTGGTGCATCAGGTCCTTCAGCAGTATCCCCTTTTGTCTATTAAACACACACATACAGAATGTGAAAACTCAAGATGCTAGTAGATATTATTAAAATGAGAAAATAATTGGCACAATTAGATTAGAAGTATAAGAAGGTATGCTTTACAGAGGACACACACAATGTATTTTCTTTAATTACATATTTTCTTCAAAATATTTGCGAACTAGAAACTCAAGCCCACTTTTTGTACTTCACCTCAAAATCCTCGAAAAAGCTTTGGGAAACCCACATTTCAATTTGCTACATTTTAGTACCTTGTTATTATCAGGATGATTTAAAACAGAGAATCACAGAATGGTTTGGCTTGGAAGAGACCTTTAAAGGTCATGAAATCCAACTCCCCCTGCACTGAGAAGGGAAAACAATCACAGAATAATTATAATAAGACTTTTGTTGGAGTGCCTAAAGACATGATTGGCTAATGCAGATCACAGGTTACGCACCACTAGACGAGTTGAGCTACAGAGATTGAAAAGGGAACCTTCTGTCTAAAACACCTTCGAGGTTATATACCAAGTTATCTCATTAGGAAACAAAAATCACCTTATCAGTAGATCTCTTTTCTGTTTCTTTTTTCACCTTTTCTGATGCAGTGGGCTTGCCATTGTTGTTGCCGGAGGGCAAACTAGAAGAAGCTTTAGGCTCTTGCTTAATAGGTTTGGTAACAGATACTTTTGGTTGCTCTGCTTCCTAAAAACAGAAACAAAAATTGAAGGCAAATCCTACACTTGAGATACTTCCTGGTTTGCCATTAGTTAGATACCAGGATAGGCAAACAATATACAACACCAATCATCTACACACACACTTCTTAAAAAAAAACATTTCTTAAATATCTTCATATCACATCAATAAATTAGTGTGCATAAGTTGCAGACAATTAGTAAAACCTCCCCTTACCACTCACCTTCCAGAGGGAAAGGTGCTCCTTTTCCAAAGACAGATCCTCTTTGGAACATTAATTAAAAAGGAAGACATTTCTGCTTTTAAAATTCAAAGAGATAATGAACACAAATTTTCAGATAATTCTGAGGACAAAATTCAATATAAGCTGAAAACAAAACCTGACATCTGATCTAACCAGACATCAATACTTCATTCCTTCACGGAGAAAAATACTGACCTCTGCTGAATCTCAGTCCATATTCATCTACCAGATGAATAAATTTAGATCTCAACAGAAATCAACAGCTCTCATTAATGACACCTTAGGGTCGGCAATGGACAATAACCAAGAGAGTTTGTAAATGAGTGATTAATCAGACTAATGCACAGGAGCAAGGTACCCCCTCTCAGCTGGTAAGAAGGCAGTAATTCCCTGCTCTGTACTGGGACAGGTCCTAAGCCCTGAGCTTCAGCCCTCCGAAGTTTGTTGACTTCCTGTTGCATCCAGGGTCAGAAACAGATTTCCTCATCTGCCTGACTGTGGTAACTCTGTGCTCCCTACTCTGTTCTTGGATTTCATGGTCAACCATAAATTAATCCTGCAGCCTAATAAGAATGCACGGAAAGGAACCGCTACATTTTTTTTCATTTCTGAGCTTTGCAATCTAGCTGATACTGGAGACATACTAAAAAGAAGAGAATAAAAGATTTCTTCCTCTGGTCTGAACTTCAGTTGCACCTGAGGGCAGGTGACTGCCAGCCAAGCTGTTATTAGAATTGGCTTCCCAAGCCTCTTTGCGCTATTATTGATTTATCTGCTTCCTCTTTAAACCACAAATCACTTCTTTGAGCTCTGAGGGCACCCGAGAGTTTTGAGACCTGTGTTAGGGGGAACTGCAGTTTAGGTTTCAGGGAGCTGAACAGAGAGGAGTTAGACCACACAGTACAAGCATGATATACGCTGAGCAGTAATAGTGCCTTTTAGTTATTTGGAACCACGTAGATGTAGAAATGAAATATTACTGATATATCAGCATACACACCATCATTATAACATACCAGGCTGACTTCCAGGCATCCTAGGGGAGAACACTACCTCATTATCCATATGGCAATATGTAGCAGTACAAGGATGTCCCCGCTTGGTTATTTCCATTCACTAATTTGGATTCAAACAGTCCCTCTAGCAGGTGTTCAGTGATTTTCGGTAGATGAAAAATAATGTTTGTCCATTGGACGGCAATGGTTCCAAACTGTAAATCATTTCTGCTTTGAACCATTTCGTGTTTTTCGTTCTCATATGACTTCATCAACAGAATTTCAGGGAAAGAGACCCAGCTTTATCAGTAAATAGCTTGTTCTGTTTCATATTTATCTGTGGCAAAAGTAATCGGCATTTTAAAGACCTTTTAGCTCTGAAATGTAACTGCAGAAATATGTAAGTTTGGGTTCACCTTACATAGCATGTCTGATATAATGTTGAATATCTCTTTTAAAGGTCTTGGTATATCAACAAAGTAGAGATTTTTTTCCCCATTAACTTCTGTTAATTGAATAGATTATGTTGCATAAAAGGGAAATGATGAATATGAACATTCCATAATTACTTTTTCTTTTTCCTCAACTTCTGATTCTCTTTTAATTTTCCAGCTATAAAAGAGGAACTAGGAATAGAAGGAGCTCTGTAAAGGCATACAAAAATGACCCATGCTCTCTAACACCAATACCTTCTGAGATGGACGATAGCTTGACTCAGTTCCTCTGGCCAAAGACTCATCAAGAAGCGCTTTCAGCTTTTCTGCAGAGTCCTTACTCTTTGAATGCAAGAAGCCCAGGGCTTTCAGAAAAATGGGATCAAGCTCCAAGTTCACTGTAGCAGCCATAGTGGTGTCTTCAGAGGGAGTTTAAAGGAAAAAAAAACAAAAAACAAACAAACAAAGAAAATCAATGACAACTTTATTCACTTAGAGCATAACTCAAACAGCATGTGGCTAATAGAAGATCTATTTTTTTTGCAAAATGGAATGACATTAAATCACAGGAAGGATGATATGTGAATTAATTATCACTAGAAGTTGACTGATTGTGAATTCCAGAGTTGCAAAACTTTAATTTGACTTTACATGTGAAATTATGTCAAATTAATTCTTTGGCATATCTGATATTCAGAAACTAAACTCATCACACTCAGGTAAATGAAACAAATATTTCATATTCTTGATATTTCATACATAAAGAATATTGAAAAGTATGGAAAAATAAGTGTTAACTTCAAGAAAAGCAATTACTACCCTTCTCCTCAATATTATTTGCACATACAGTTATTTCTAACTCATGGCTCATTTAAGAGTAACTAAAAAGTCTTACTTGCAGAAAAATTAACTTCTGAAACTTCTGACAAAAACCCAGCTCATTGTAGCATACAATATAAGAGATACAAACAGCTAGTGTATTATTTTATACAAATAAAATACCTGAAAAAACACACTATCCATTTTTAAATTTAGCTGGAACAGTGAGAAAATTTATAACTTAGACTGTGACTTAACCACGCCCCCATGTGACCGTCTGAGTTTTAATGTCAAGTAATGACTATCCACAGCTTCAATATGCCACAGTGACAATGTAAATGGAACGAAGTGAGAAAAAGGTTAGAACTAATTAAAAAAAATTATGTTTGCTTCAGAGCAATACATTCTGGCACTCTGGAACCTTCTCTATTCATTTCTTTAACAAAATCTCTAAGGAATTGCATTTACATTGGAAATTGTACTTAAAAAGATCTAACTTAAGCAGTAATTGACAATTAATAATTAAAGAAATAACATGGGAAGTGATGGGAACACATCAGGATGCTTTATGGTTTTGTTTGGTTTTGGTTTTTGGTTTTTTTACACAATAATTTAGAGGATGTTCTTGAAAAGCCTTTCATCAGTTCTGCTCAAAAGCACTGGACAGCTTTTTCAGCTGGAGCTTCCAAGGTTTTGTCTGATTAATTCCTTTTGATATTCATGGCAGCAAACTTTTACCTCTCTGGCCAAAACACCAGCAGTGGCAGCCTGCTCCCTTAACTCTTGCCTAGAAGTCCCTAGGAACCTTTATCTCATGCTGAGCTTTCACGAGACACCAGAGAATCACTTGACTGAGATCATCAAGGAGTTCAACATTCAGTAGACTTCATAGGGATTTTATCAATGGACCCAGCAGAGAGTTAAGAATCCTCTTCAAGAGCCTCTTCTCTCTTCCTTAATCTTTGCTACTTGACAAATCATTTTCTGGTGGCCACAGAACTTCTGCTGGTAATACTACACACCAGTTACTCTGCTTTTTCACTGATCAAGCAGAGACTGCAGTGCAAGCCCCATCCAGACAATTCAGTCTCTCTCTGATGATTACAAAAAGTGAATTCACAGTGCATGGAAAGCAGATACCCTTTTTTTAATGCATCTACCTCTAATACCTGCTCAGGCTGCTCTCAAGATCTGTGGGTAGGTTATCTCCTTCATTTCTTTGTTCTGTGAATATGTCTTTTACAAGAGTCAGTACCACATACTCTCAAACCAGGATTCTGCTAAACCCTCTGTTGAATGAAAGTAGAATCAAACCACTAATTTCAAAAATTTTGTATAATTCCCTGCTAAAAAACAATACTTTCAGTTCTTCTCTGAGGCTTCTACTAGGAATACACACTTGTCTACAGGAAGAGCAGGTAGCCAAACAGTCATTAGCAGCCAATTCAGGATGCCTGTAATATTTAGAGAACAAGTGTAAACACACTAATTCAACTTTCATCTAGCTGAAGATTTCTTTCTAGCTCTAGCTTTTTGAAGACATATATTGAAAGGAACTGTTAAACCCCAAATTTCAAAAGGGTTCTCTGTATTTATTCTTTTATTTGCTATGAAATTGCAGCAATTCTTTCTTTATTCTCCAGAGTAAATTATAATGTCATAGGCTACTTCACTTACAACTAATATCACAAGAAATTTCTCAAGAGAAGGGAAGGAACTGGGCTTATTAAACAGTTCAAGTATGCTCAGCTTAGGCATGTATTTTCAAATTAAAAAAAATCTATTTGTGATTTAGAGGAAGTCTATTCAATGGGAAGATGAACACATCAATAGCTGTCTTAAAAACAGCATCACCTGAAAAAAGTAAATTGATAATTATGCTCTCCTTACTGGACCATAACAACACAACTGCCGAATAGGCTAACAACAGTAACTGACCTGGTCCAAAAGGCAAATTATTGCTTCTGGTAGTAGCCCTTTCCAGATGTTTACAGATCAAACAGTTTTTAAGTATAAAACACTGGTTTGACACTTATAAACCTAAGATCCAATTACATTCATTCATGTTTTCATTCATAAACTGCTCCTCTGGCAGTGGAAGCACCATACAGCAATGCGATAGCCTTGAGATAAGGACAGCAGAGTGTTCTAACAATGATGCCATAGGCTGTTCTGCAAGACAGACCTTGACTTTGTTCTTGAAGAAGAATCTTTGTACAGGAAATAATTCAAATGCTGTTTAGAAAAAAAAAGTATGACACTGTGTTTTCCTTAGCAGTTTGATAACTCAGCTGTGAAATCAGATGACTGTGCTAAAAAAAACCCCAGAGCAGAACTGGTTTTGCTCAAAGCAAGTGCACCTTTCTTGCAACTCAGCATTCAGCCATCAGCCTAGCCCTAAAAGCACCTTTCTCGACTTAGGTCTCTGTTTGGTACTTCTTTACTATTATATAAGAACTGTTTGATGATGGATACACAAGACCAAATATAAGGCAACAAAACTCCCTGAAGTAGCGGAAATAATATTAAAAAACCTACAATGAACAATCATGGAATAGCCTCCCAATGTGTACTACTCGAAGTGGTTTAAATCCCTGTGGGGAAAAATAATGCTAATTAGTAGGTTGTTATTTTTAAAACATCCAAGAATTTTTGGATTCTCTCATTTCTTGAGCATACTTTGTTCTTCTGCCAAATACATACAAGTTTAATGGAGCACTATACAGAATACACGGTCCTCCAATTTAATAGACTTATTAGATTTCTAGGATCTGAAGAAAAAAAGAGCCCTCTTTTTTTTATTTATTTGCTATCTACTAAGTTGCATGCCTACACATCTATTATCTTATTCATTATAACTTGCATTTAAAGGGATCTACTTCCATTACATTTTCAGATATGGTCGTATTTTTATCCATCTGTTTCTGAACTCCTGTTTCTATTATTTTCTGCGACAGGTGTACTGCTGAAGATATTTTTCCAAGAAAGCACACACCTTCAATTTATATTGCAATGCTATTATCAAACCCATTCTTTTATAAACTCAGAAATATTTTTATTTTTCACTGACGCTGATGATTAAAAGGACTTTCACTCACATATCCTTTTCAGCTACCTTCAACATATGTAGCAGTAAACTTAAAACCCAGTCACATGAAACAACAGCACATAATTCCTGCCAACACACTCACTGCACTGTGTTTATCAATAATTAATTTATCATGATAATATCAATTCACTTTCTCCCTCCCCTATAGATTCTTCTGTTCCTCAGAACTTACTCTCTTCCTGACTAATCAGTGACAGTGGCAGACTTTGCTTATTTACCAATAATACCTTTTCCAGATCACTTCCAGATGTAATGTAAATCTTAAGAAAGTAGATCAAGGAAAATCTTAAAAGCAGGAAAAAACAAACTTCTGTTTTCAGTTTTTGCTTTTGTATCTTAATCAGGACTTGATTCATGACAGCATAATTTCTCAGTTACCTTCCACAAGGGACATTTCAAAACTCACACACTTCAGTAGTCTGGAAAACTGTATTAATCAGTTCTCATTTATCTGTTATCTTCTGCAAAGAATTTTCTAAGACTAGAGTAAAATTTCCTGCTATGTAGTTACTAGTACTGGTATCCTTAATTCTACATTCTATTCTACACCATATTTTATAATGTACTTTAAAATTAATATTTCAATCAATATTACTGTAATCCATTTATCCAAAATATCTAAGATTACACTATTTGCTGTTTTCTCCTCAGAAATAGTGAATTATTTAAGAATCACAGAATCATTTAGTGTGGAAGGGATGTCACATGGTCGCCCTGCGCAATCTCCTGTTCAGAGTAAAGTCAACACTGAATTCAGACCAATTTGCCCAGAACTTTTCCAGTTGGATCCTGAAAACTTCCAAATATAGGAATGTGAAACACTTTATGGGCAACCTGTCCCAATGCCTCATTACCCCATTTCCTTGCTTGGAATTGGAAGTTCTAACTTGTGCTGTCTTTCATTCCCTCTCAAAGCATCTGACTACAAAGACTGGCTCGATCTTTTCAAAAATCTCCTTAGGTTTATAAAGGCTTCCATTAGGTCCCCTTAAGCCCCTGGTAGATGGCATCCAACACTTCCTTCACCTTCAGATCTAGCTATTTTGCCACAGGGGACAAGCCAGGTAGACAGGCATGACTTATCCTTGGTAGATCTCGAGATGGCAATCCCTAGTCTCCACCTGCTCCTCTTATGCCTACAAATGGCCTCCTCCATGATTTTTTCCAGATGGAAGCAGCAAGGCCTGTAGTTGTCTTGCCCTTTTTGAAGATGAGCATAAAATTTGCCTTTCTCCAGTCTTTGGGATCTCACCAATCTCATGGCCTTTAAAAGATGACAAAAAGCAGCTCTGTGAAGATGGACCTGAAGATGGTGTTTCAACATGTGCCACTGCTCATTGGTTTAAGTCACTGGCAAATTGAGTTTACCTCCACTACTGTTTTCACCTTTCCTTAATCCAGTGTATACTCAAACTTATCAAGTTCACAAATTCCTCGGTATCATCCTCCTGGAAACTTCTTGGTGACAAAATCAAACCTTAGTTAAAACGGAATTTCTGAAATAGTTACACCAAAGCCACAACATGACCCTCTGCAACCTACTTGCTGCAAATCTCTCCCTGAGATTTCCCTTTAGGAATGCCCAAAAGGCCTCTCCCCTGAAAGCAACACTTTAAAATGTTTAAGATAATAAAAAGCCACCCACCCTCCTGCTCCCGCTACCGCCCTCCACCAAGTTGCTCAGGGCAGCGGCTCCGGGGGTGCCCTGTGCCCGGGAGGGACCGTCCTGGAACTCACCGGGACAGCGCGGCGGCCGCCCCTCCCAGCCCCACAGGAGACCCAGAGCTCACCCCGGGTCCGAGGGTAAGAGCCGCCAAATGTGGTGTGGGCTCCACTCTTCCTCCTCCCCAAACCCTTCTTTCTTCCTCCCTCCCCCCAAACCCCCTCTTTCCTCCTCCTTCCCCCCAAACCCCCTCTTCCCCGCTCCTCCCAGCCCCCTCTTCCTCCTCCCAAACCCCTCTCTTCCCCCATTCCAACCTCCCTTCTTCCTCCATCCAAAACGCCTCTTCCTCCTTCCTCCTCCCAAACCCCCCCTTCCTCTTCCCAAACACCTTCTCCACCGTTTTCCTCCTTCCCAAACCCTTCTTCCTCCCTCCTCCCAAGCCCTTTCTTCCTCCTCCCAAACCCCTCTTCCTCCTTCCAAAACCCTTCTTCTCCTCCCAAACCCCTTCTTCCCCTCCCAAACCTTTTCCTCCTCCCAAACACCTTCTTCCGCCCCCCAAACCCCTTCTTTCTCCTCCCTCTTCCTCCTCCCCAAACCCGGCCTCCTCCCTCCTCCCAAACCCCTCTTTCTTTCTCCCAAGCCACTCTTTCCTCCTCCCAAACCCCCTCTTCCCCTCTTTCTTCTCCCAGACCCCCTCTTCCCGCTCCCCGCAGAGCCGCCCGCTGGGGTCTCACCGGAGGCGAGGAGGAGGAGGACGGAGGCGCACAGGCGGGTCCGCCGCCACGCCGGTCCCCCCGCGCCCCGAGGCCGGCGGGCGGCAGTTCCGGGCGGTGCGCGGGGCCAGGGCAGGAAGGGGCGGAGCCGAGGCGGAGGCAGCAGGGCCGGGTAAGGAAAATAACCAGCAATACAAATAAATACAGACTGAATGCTTTGCTATTCTAATGAAATATGTAAGGAGGTCATGACAGAAGCCCATTTTGTTAAAATTACTTTTTAAAGTTCTTGTGGAAATTAAAGTATTAATTAAAGTATTAGCTCTGTTGATGTTGAAAAGCTCAATGCAAAAAGCAGAGTGGGGTTTTCCAATGCTTGCTCTCCTTACCTTTTCAAGTTTGTTCTCCTGGTCTGAAAAGTATGTAACTTTAAACATCCCGGTAGTTGATATTTCCTGTTCTTTGGGGCTTTAGGAAGAAAAAAATCTAGTAGTATAGTGTATGAGAAGAATTTAGGACTATTTTAAAATAGCGGAACAATATACTGCAAAGACGCCTTCAGGTCTGGTACCATAAGAACTTGTAGGATCAGGACCTTTAGCTGAGAGAGATCTGATTGCCTGTACCAAACCAAAATGAATTGCTGTCATATAAATGATGAGAGATTAATTTGTCCAGGTCTGGAAATTGTTTGTGTATGTAAGTACCTATTCTCACATTTAAGCCCAATATTGTGAAATGTGCCATGTTCTTAATTCTCCCTGAAAACCAGAGAAATGAGACATTTGTATTTTTGTGATTAGAGCTGGAGTTGTCACCTCCTCTGGAATCTTTTCCACTGTTAAGTGTAAGATACTAGTTGCTTGCACTTTTTTTTAGAACTTAGCAATTTACAGTTTGTTTTTATTTGGTTCAGAATTACTAAATTTAATAATTAATTGTTGCTGTATTGATACTGTCATTGTTTATGTGATTCCTTAAAAAGGAAATTCTGATAATATTGACCATAATACCAATCTTTGGATTTTCCCTTACTCTTCCTGTGTGAGAAGAGTTTAATTAACTGAAACAGTGATCTTAGCTTAACCCTTCTTCTCTCCCTTCACCTTGAATTAAATCCATTTCTAAAATTTTTATGAGTACTTTATTGAGTAAGTAGATCATAAATATCACTGTTTCTGTGTTCTTTTTGTCTTTGTAGAAGTTCATTTAGGTTCAGAAAAATAATTCAATCTCTCTGTCATGTCATACTCAGCTCATGTTGGAGCTGAATAGTGGTAAATGACTGTGTATATTTACAAAAGTTAGTCTGAGTTTTGAGGACATTAGTAACCACCCTCAGGCTGTCTAGTACCTCTCCCAGAGGTTCTCCCTTCAAGGCATTTGGAAGAACAGACCTTTGCTGAATGTACCTTTTCTTCAGTACAAAATCCAGAGCCTTACCTAAAAAGGATTGAGAGAGGTAACTCGAAGTTACAATACTGTGGACTAAATGAAGTGGCCTGCATTCATATTCCCATTTTCTGACCCTGTAAAGAGAATGGAGTGGGTGGTTCTGGACTACATCTGCTTATCCTGCTTCAGCAAGATCCTAGTATTGGTTTATATGGTTTTCATGATTTTTGATAGTTGTATACCTGAGAGTGAGAATGGTTTAATTTGACCAGAAATATTTCAAACTTAAAGAATACAGGTGGATTAATAGGATAGCATCAGCTGTGTTTACTGGGTTGAATATAAAGCAGGCCAATGATCAACAAGTCGTTATTTCCAGTAAGTTGCTGTCTCTGGGACTGTCTGACAGCTGCTGTTACTCATTGCTACTGGGTAGAAGTAATTTTGTTCAACAGATTGGAGGAGAATTCACACTGAGGCTGTTTACCCCTTCATCTACCAGTTTTCAAGCAGTAGTCTGATTAGTAGTACCTCTACTTGGGCATCTTTTAAATACTTATGTTTTATTTTTAGCCTAATGACACATTACCCTTTGTGGTGAGACAGTGCTTCAGAGCTGCTACTCTGGATGAAAGTGGGCAAGGGTCAGTGTACCTGTTGAGAGTACCTACGTGGTGAAAAGATGAATGTTTTATTTGGGCAGTCCTGAGTGATGGATGTGGAATAATTTGTAACAACAGGTTGCAATAGTTGGAAACCATAGAATAATATACTTTGGAAATGGAAACCTTATCAGAATTTACTAAAGTATTTATCAGTTCTATATAGCATGATAATGACCAAAATAACTGATTGTGTCCAGTAAGGTCAACCAGAAGAAAACATTTATCAGTGAAGTGATTGGTAAGATGTATGTGTATGTCTGAGTGGCCAGAATGGCCAGGAAAAGATGGGCTTGTGTGCTCCTTGAGTTCCCATGGAAAATAAAAATAATAACCCAAATGCATATGAAGGTACTGTTTAATATTGAAAGTAGTACTGCAGTCAAGAATAGGAGTTTAAGTGCTGGTCACTATGGATTTAACAAGTAAGACTAACTCTTCTTGACTTGCCTCCTTAGCAGTGCCTTCACTATGTAATTTCTACTTTCTGGGAAAGTAGGTATTTCATTATGTATTGTCTTGTTCTTTGTGTGGCAGGTGTATTAATTAAAGAAAAACAGCAGTACTCATAGTAGAGCCACTGTTCTTCTGAGACAATAACATGTCATGTAATAGTTTAAAAATACTTTGCTATAACAGTCATTAGTATGATCTTAGTGTCAGGTGGATGTGGTTTTATTCTTCCACTGCCTTCTTTTAAGCAGTTGATTTGGCCTCGTGATAGATAATATGAAGTACTAAATTTGATGTACATGTCTGCATGAAGAAAAAATAATCAAATAATCAGCATATATCAAATGAAAATCTTTTTTTTGCTTTTTAAATAATTCCATAATATTCATGTAACTGCACAAAGACCTTATTATTCCAGACAGTTATTTGAAAGACTCGTGTTTTTCCAGTGTCACTGATGCTTTGTATATGTGTATATAAAAAACATTCTGGCCTTCCTTAGCAACGTTTAAATTTTTCTCTTACTGCGCTAGAGCTGTCGTCTGTAACACTTGCTGTAAGAGCCCCATCTAGTGTCTAAGGCTTTTCAATGCGAGCTGTGATTTGTAGGTTAACGGGCAATTCCACTGAGGAATGGAGCATAAAAATTATTGCATCAGTGCTTTATGTTAAACTGGTATGGAATATTGTAATATTCCACAATGAGGAAAACTAATTTTAGCTTTTAATATATTGAGAAGATATTAATTTCAGCTATGCTACTGTGGTATTCAACTGCTTAAAGTAGTTGGGTGCTTGAGGTGTTCATGTAGCATTCATGAAAGGAATGTTTATTTTCCTATGTGTCCTTCAGTTATTATGTCGCCAGGCTCTAGATTAATTTTTAATACAGAATATTATTTCCCATGGCCTAAATACCCTCTATAAATGCCTTTTAGCAGTTACAGAAAGACAAGTGTGTGTATTACAGAACAGACTGTTGTAGATATGTGCTTAGGAACTTGCTTTTTCAATAATACATGGTTAATGTTGTGGGAGATTTTGAGTTAAAAAAACAAAAAAACCTTGCTATAAAATGTTTATGCACTTAAAAATTGAAAAGAAAACATTTTCTTTTGGTTTTATTTGTTTTGTTTGATGTCAGAAATATGCTAAAATGTAAAAAAAAAAAAAGTACACAAATCATTTTCCTGTCCATGATCTGTATGTGAAGAGACAATGTGTATGTGAAATTGTTCTTTTCTCTCAAAAAGGGCCTGCAGTCCAAATATACAGGCAGGATCTCTGTAGTAGTGTCGTATGTTAAAATCAGTTATAGCAGATAGTGGAAGAACCAGTGTTTTAAAACTTTTTTTGTTCTAAGTTCTGTATTCTTTTATGAATGTCATGCTCTGATTTGTATTTCAGGAACTTCAACTCAGGAGGAAGATGAAAGATTGCATCACTGAAGAACATTTATATTTGGCTTTTTCTCATCAGTACAGAGATAGTATCTTTCCTCTTCATACATCTATCTCCCTGTTTTTGCTATCCTACTGTGACTGCAAATTATTTAAAATTTTCTTAGTGCCAACTGGTGAAGATGTGGGTAATCAATGTGTGACAAAAAACCTCCCTGGCGATCTTGAGGTGCATTTAATCTCCAAGTGTCAGCTTCCAGAGGTTGTGCAGAGTTGCAGTTTACCTGCAGTTGTCGTGAAAGATGGCAAATTCTGCCGAGCTGGGCTTTCTGTTGTCTTAAGACATATAATACAGAAAACGTATGAGGCAGATCCATCTAAAAAGGATGTTTTGGAACTCTTGGGCTTTAAGAAGACTTGCTTAAAAGCTTGTGCTGAAGTGAGTGCCTTTCTTTCTCTTAGATACATTAAGTTTTTTTTAATTAGCATTAAATACTCATAAGTAGACTCTTAATATTGATGTAAACTAACTTCTTTTAGTGAGAAATTAAATTTGCTTAGAAAATGAATTTTCTTAATGGAGAAATATCTGTACTTTGGCATAAAGATGAAAATAATTATTTTTGAAGATACTACTTAGCAGCACAAAAATCCCTTAAAATTCAAAAAGTATGTTAGATCTCTGTTTCATGACTAACAGTATAAATGAGTTCTAAAGTTTGAAGTAAACTAAGAATTATCTAATTTATTTTTAATTTTGATTTCAAGAGCACCATAATACTGTTAGCCTTCACTGCCAGGGTGCACTGCTGGCTTATGTTTAGCTTATCCTCGTCCGGTTGTTCACTGACTTTTCAGCAGAGTGGCTAACATGGCCAGGTGGCCAGTCACTAGCCTGTACCATTCCAGGGGTTTAGTCCCTCCTAGAATGGGCTCCCTGTCAGCCCATTCTCTAGCCTGTGCAGGCCCATGTGAATAGCAGCTCTTTCATGGAGTTTGTTGACTGCTCTGCTCAACTCACTGTTGTCCTTGATGTGAGTGTAATCCATCACCCCCCTCCAGGTAAAGATGATCAAATAGGATAGGCCCCAGCATAGACCCTTAAAGATTTCCACTGCTAACTGACCTTCAGGTAGCATGTGAACCATTGACCAACACTACCCTTTGAATTGAGATTTCAGTCTATTTATCACATAGCACTTTACTCATCTGACAGCTCATCCATCTAGACTTGCCTTCCTTGCTCTCTCAGGAGGTTGAGCTCCAGTCTGTCAGGATTGCTACATCCATGGTTACCACTGATTACTGTGTCTCCAACCCGGTTCATCCCTGTTGGCGTGTAGCAGATTTGGAGGAGCACATCTCTGTGTTAGTGCACACAGTGCTGGTGTAAAGAAGTTGTCCCTGACATCCTCCAGAAACCTCTGTAATCTTTTGGAACTGCTGGAGAGCTTCATTCTGTATTTCAGAGGGCTGCAAAGTGAGTGAACTGAATAAGAAAAGAAAGGAGTTTAAAAATTGTAAAACCTTTAAGTACGGGTGATAAGAAAAAGAGGACAAGGATAAAAGCGTGAAAAAAAATAAGTAATTTTTTTGAAGTGCTTTTCAGGTAGACAAAAGTTTTTTTTGATGTTGCATATTAAAAACCCATTAATAATATAATGCATTTCTGAAAATAAATGTGCTCAAAATCTGTTTGGTGTAATTGAATCTTATTACCACCATTTGGTAGAGATGACATATAGAAATTGATCACACCTTTCCTTGTTATGAGTTATGCAGCCACCCTAATATTACGTCAATAATAAGGAATAAAAATATGCTATACTGGATAACTGTTCATTCTGTTATATATAAGGTTTAGCTTCCTAATTCTTCTGTAGCAAAAGTAATAGAGAATATCTGAGTTTCTAAGATTAACAAAGAAATCTGGAATTTCTTTCCTTAAAGTGAACGAAAATGTATCCTGGATTTTGTTTCTCTTTCTGTAGAGACATTAATTACATAAATTTATTTGACAGGTTAGCCAGTGGACCCGACTTTGTGAGATCAGCATTCCTCTGGCTGTGGAAAGGTTTTTGACGGCATCTCCTGAGCACTGTCAGGCTATTCCTTCTGACATTTTACAGTTTGAAAGGAAGCTTGGAGAACCTGTCCGAGTACATAATGATGACAAAATTCGTAGGCAAAAACTTCAACAGCAGAAGGCAGGTGCCAAGGCTGCAGTGCCTGTACTTGGTGAAGAAGCAGCAAGGGAATTAAAAGCAGGGGAAGTGCATGAGCCTTCACCCCCAAGTTTGGAACTGAGTGTAGCTTTCTCCAAGCTACTTGTCCAGGAAGCATCAGATGCAGTCAACAGAGAGGCCTCCCACATCAGGAGAACAAAAACTTCTGACCTTCCACTCTTGGACCACATCTTTGCAGAAGGGCTTTATTTTACTGTGGCAGATATAGTGCTTTTGCCATGCATCCATCAGTTCTTGGTAAGATGACAAATTCTGCAAATATTAACTAGTGTGTATGTATGTTTTTTTAAGAACTTGAAAGTTGTAAAATATGTTATTTAAAACATATTATGGCATTCACAGTGTGACCTTAACCCAAAACAGAGGATATGTCTTTGTTTTTGTACAAACACAAAAACCAGGGATTGGTTTTAAATACATAGCATATAAATACCTAGTAAACACTGTTAACTGTTAAAATATTATACTGAAATATTTTGGTACCAAGTTGCCTAGAAAATAGTAATTTTAGAATACTGGTGCAAGTGGCTTGAGCTCAACTTCAAAACCAATTCTGCAGTGGGAAAAACTTCTGTGGCAAGACTGTGCAAGAGTCTTGCTCAGCATAATCTGTGTACTTAGTTTTATAAGGATATACACACAGGAATGATTTAAGGAAATGACAGCTATGTCTTTATTTCGCATTACAATAAAATGATACAGTGAATTTGCCTGCTACCAGCATTCCTGCAGTTATGCTATGAGATTTATAGCTAAGATGGTGTCTCTTGCCAGGAAGAGCTCTGAGTGAGGTTGGTGTTGACATTTTGATTTTGCAAGTTGCTTTGCTAAATTTGCCTTATGGTGTTCGAAAACAAAGGGAATTCCTGGAGAAGATACTGCTAGTCAGATTGAGAGAAACAATCTCTAAAATCAAGATAGGGACTATCAAACATTAATAATGTGACAAACGTCCACTTTATAACTTCTTTAGCCAATATCATAATCCTCAGTGGATTGATGATAGCAATATCAGAGTCCAGAAGTAGGTTAATATGGCTACCTCTGAATTAGGATGATGAATTATTTTACAGAAATGGTTCTTAATTCACATCTGCTTTGTTTGTTTTGTGAATCACATGATTGAAGATGAACAGCAACTTCTGCATGGATGATACTAAACAAAAGTATTAATACAAAATGCTTTCCTACTATTTAAAAATCTTTAAAGTATTTCAATCTTTGTTTTTCCAAGACCTTTTTAAATAAGAAGACCATAACTTTTTATAGTAATTTTTTCATTTACTGGTGCTGGGCATGAGAAGATTCTTGGATCAGATGCTTAATTGATTTCAGCAATGCAATTGAGATTGTTCTGTAGATGTACTGTGAGCAGCTGAGAATGATGTATTTATTTACTTTGTATGTGTGACCCTTAAGGCCTGGTCAGCAGCTTATGAACTATATATTTTATAATACACTTGTGTAGATCATGCCAAGAATTGCCCTAAAAACCTGGTTTTCAGTTTCATTTTTATCTGAATTACAAGAGCTCTCAGGTAATGTTACTTTATTTCTCTTCTCCGATATGTGATCGTTTTCTAAGAAATTATACCTTGATTCCTACAGTTATCATTGAAATTGAATAACTTGCATCTTGAAAGCTTCTTGCAAGCAGTGAGTTGAAACTGCTCTTGTTGATGGAAGTGCCAGAATTTAATTCCATATTAAAGTGTTATTTGTCACTTGTATAACTGGACTTCCTGGATTGTGTTTAAAAAAATCACTGTAGTTGCATTTCCACTTTGATTTAAGGGTGTGAATGATAATGAAGTCTTCAGTGAGTATGTGTCTGGAAAGTAACACACCATAAATGTGAGGAGACCTGACTAGCTGATTGTAATTATAATTACCAAAAGTAAGATAATGAAGCTGAAGAGTTGTTTTTCATTACCTCATTCCAATTCAGTTATCTTTCTGAGGTTAGCTTTGGTACACTTTCTATTAGTTGTAACTGTTGAAAATTAATAGAAGCGTAACAGAAGCTCAGTTCTTCATCTGGCAGAAACTACTCTTCAGTTTTTAAAATACAATTTAGAACACTTGATAACTAGTGTAACAGTGCCTCTTAGAATTGCTTTCCAAAAGACTTCTTCCTTAACTGAATTATTGTATCTTTGCCTGTGTTACTATTAGGGTATTAAATAAGATGCTAAAATCACACAGTTCATCCTTTCTTTGCTCCTTTAGCTATTGCTAATTACTTTTGATTATCCTAAGCATGTTATAAACACAGCATGCAAGAGAGCTGCTTGAAATTTCGTGTCATTTCAAGTGTTGTTTACCAATTTCTACTTCCATGCTGCGGACAGATACGTGGAGGAATGCTGTTTTTGCATGGCCTTTTCTGCCTTTTCCTGTAATCATGATTTTTAATTTTCTATTTAAAGTGGGCACACCATCACAGGGTAGTTCAGGTTGGAATAATTGAGGTTGGAGGGCACCTCTGGAGCTCATCTTGTCCAACTCCCCTGCTTAAAGAAGGATCGTCTAGAGCCGGTTTCCCAGGATCATGTCCAGTCATATTTTGAGTGTGTTTCGAAGGATGCAGACTTCAGAACCTCTCCTGTTAAGAAGACGATCTTCATTGTTTTGAAAAATTTGGGAATCTAAAGAAAGCAATTTAATTTCACCAAATACATCCTTTTTAAAAGTAACTGGACTTCATGTAAATTATGATTTGGTGTAATTTTTTTAATATGTGAAACATATTCTCACTAAAGAAATTTTTTATTTTATTTTTTACACTTAAAATTCTAATTTCTATTGAAGGCCACATCAACTCATAATCATATACACTTAATTCACAAAAGAAATATACTGGTTACCGTTGTTTTATAAAGATACGTAATTAAGATTGTAAAAAAGTCTGAATAAATACATGACTTTTAAAAAAAGAAATAAGTTTGATTCACTACTACTAGAAAAAGTTGCAGATGTAGTGAAAAGACTTGAGTAAAGAAGAAGGATAATATGCCTGTTTCTGTTTTGCTGTTGCCACGTAGTGTAAGGTATTTCAGGCTTGCAGTTCCCAGCAAAATAGCTGTTGGTGGATGAGCTTTTAAGAACATCAGGCTACTTGTGGGAAAGAACGACATTCAGATGGTCTTGCTTAGAGTTCAGTATTCATGGCAAATTACTGCACTGGGTTTTTTTCTCTGACTGCCAACCAAAATGAATCATTCCTATGTTAGGAAATGGCACATAGTTAAGAATATTATTTAAACTGAGCTTTTTTGTTGCTGATTGAAATTATGAATAACATTGGTCGTGTAAATCTTTTCATCCTATTAAGCAAACAGGGATTGCAGATAAAGTCTAAATCACCAACTTGCAATTCTACTTGCAGTTGTATTATCATCGTGCTATGAATACACATGCCTGGCATAGAGCTGAGCTCACTTCTGTAGTTCATGCCTTCTTGTGGCTTGTAGGAAGAAACCTTCCCATTTTATTTTTTTAGGTTTCCAGCAAGAAACAAGGCAGAAACCTGGTAAATTTGCCGCTGATATCCGCTTGGTATCGAAGAGTTCAAGAAGTACCTGGAGTAAAGAAAGCTGCTGGCAAATGCAATATGGAGCTTCTCCAGCTTCCAGAGTTGATGTCTGCTCTAGAGGAACAGGCACAGGACTTCTCTTCAGTTCCTGATGAGTTAGAAGAGGAGAATGAAGACAGTCATTTTATAGGTGGTCCGAGGCCAACTATGACTAAATTAATGGTAATTTAAGCTTTTTAATGAGTTATCTTTAGTTATATTCTGCTTGATTTTTAGTAAGTAAAATTTTATTGGAATTGTAGAAGCTAAGTCTGACAGCCTTGAACAGTTTAATACGTCTTGCTTTTCTTATATCTGATATGCATTGACATAGAATTGATTTTACTTTTTCTTTCTCTTCTGATATTTGATCAATTCAGGAATTGAGGAAAGATAGGACTGCTGAAAGCCCTGTCAATAATTCAGAATAATCAAAGTAACTTTTTGTTTGAATTTTCATATTGTATTCATCTTTTAAAGATATTTATATAAAGGATGACAAAAAACCCTATTGCTTTTATGTTTGATTTCATTATTCAACTCTTTCTGGTTTTTGGGGTTTTTTTTTGTTATTTGTTAGAACTTTGAACATCTGGGAACTCTAATGAGTTTTGTTAAAGAAAACTGTCCATCATGTTCCATAACTCTCAGTATTTTTTGCATAGAGGTTGACAGCATTTCCTAGAAAATTAACAGGACTTTCTTGTGAAAATGAGAGAAATACATAATTTGAATCTCATATAATTCGACTCTCATATAATGTAGAGTCATCTGCCTGTTTAGTTTCAGTTAGGCTGAAGGTGTTGTTGTTAATCTGATGCCATTAAATTCAGTGAGAATTTTGATACCAACTTTAGTGGTAAAGGATCAGGGTCTTAACTTATTTTTTTCTTACTTCCATGTAGGAAAATGGAATTGAAGCCAAGTTTTTTCCACATCCATGCCCCAACTGGACCCTAGACTGGACCAGTCTACCATCTGCAGTCAGTCCTGGGGAAGGTAAGGGGTTTTATGTTCGTGTGTGCATATTTAACAGTGCCTTCTTCTGGTGAAGCCATTTAACTGTTTCCTAGGAAAATATGTTAATTTTCAATGTGTTTCAGAGCTCTGTGGAACAGGTAAGCAATTTTAAATCTGTTTTAAAATTCAGTCTGTTTCTGACACATGGTGGCATGACTTCCCTCACAGGTCATCAACAGCTGATGACCAAACTGGGAACAAAAAATTGACCTTGAATTCTGAACCATATTTTTCCCCACTGTTTCCTACTTTCGTAAACTTTTCTTTATACCTAGAATAGTAAACTACAGGATGTTAATGTCATCGGCACAAAAGTTGTACATGGACTGTGTCTCCCAAAGCAGCATGATGATGATGATTTTTTTGTGATGAAAATAATAGTAATTAGCAAAGTTTGGTAGCTACATACTGAGTGGCACTTTTCCCTGCCCTGTAGGGGCAGTTTGCTTTGCTGGATTGCAGGGCAGTTCTGTTGCCCAAGGGCTGCGGTTCTACAGGAAAAAAACCCCCTGATTTATCACAACATTTATTGTTTTCATCACTGTTGTGAATATTGAATACCTCTTCCACCTTGCTGTATAGTGTCCTCTAAAATGTCTTATGCATACTGACAGAAAGTAAGAAGTTAGTGAAGAGCTATAGATTTACAAAAAATCATTCAAAATTACCTAACTGAATACAATTGTGTATTCCCATCTATGATATAAAAGCTGTAAAAATAAGGTAAAATTTCACGTTGATTTCCTCTGGTTTGGATCTGTGTGTAGTTCACAAGGCTGTGACAAAACTCACATATGTACCATTAGTAGATTTATATTTTATAGAAAGTGTCCATCCTTCTAAACTGTTTTCCTCTGGTTTGTCCTGAGAGACATGTTTACTGGGATGTTGCACACCCTGCTTTAGTTATAGATTCGTTCCTTTAGCATGGAAGAAAAAAAAAACCAGAACAAAACCAAACTTAGATTTGCTTCTGTCTATATTACATCATGCTTCTTCAGACTTATGTGGATGTTTTGGATTTATTTCTTATGTTAAAATAGCCTTTGTAGTCTGCTGAAATGCTTGGGAGGATTATTTGTCTTGAATTTCTGTGACAAGTTCCAGTATTTTGTCAGAAGTGAATGAACATTTTTGCTCCTTTCCAATGTTCGGGGTTTGGGCTAAAGTTTTAGTTCATACTTTTGTCAAGATCTCTTCTCTTTTGTTTGAAAGAAAATTATGAAAAAGATGCATAACATACAAAAACACATAATGAATATATATTTGGAAATTTTTGTTGTAAGGAGGCTCTTGGACTTGGTTAGACTGTGGAGAAAAATCAGCTCCTGCTGTTTCCTGCCTGTGTTTCCTGCTTGCTCTCTCTTTTCTTCATTTTTCCTGAAATGGTTACTAATGACATTGATCTATGAAAATGATTTTCAGTACAATTTTTGGGAAGTTTTGCTAGCTTAACAAGGTGCTGAGAGAGAGATTTCAGCTTCCTTCACTCAAGATCACAATAATGCTGATACCATTTTCTGGTTTAGGGAAACTCCAAATGGTTGTCCATTTAGTCCAGGAGCAACAGAGTCACACAGTACAAAAAGGCATTTCCTGATGTGAAAATTGATTTTGCTTTTCAGCTGGGTACATCTGCATGCTTGCCTCTGCTGTTCTAAGTGCTACTGTTCTCTGTTTTGTGATTCTTTTCCTACTGCAGCTAATCATTGTTATATCAATTGAATTCTCAATATTTTACTACTAAATCCTACCTGGCATGCTCAGAAAATAGTCACTGGTTCTGTCAGGGTTTTAAACTGGATCTGAGAAGTGCAATTCAAGCTTTCAAACAGATTACCCCTATAACTGGTAAATAAATTTCCTCTCACTAACGTTGATAGGCAAAGTAGAGAATGTTTCAGTTAAAACTCCCTTTGTTTTTTTTTTATCCACAGTAAATTTAATTTGCCAACAAATCTTAATTTAATAGCATACGTGGTATACTTTCTTTGCTCACAATTTGTGTTATATGTATGTAGAAGTTCTGGGATTGAATGGTTTAGTCTGTTTGTAAGTTTAATTAGACCACCTTGCTGTCACAGGTATTTATGACAGAAAAGAATTACAGATGATTGCAGTTTTAATGTATTATTTAGATTATACGTTTAAGATGGTTCAGGTTTTTTTGATGAGGATTATTTACTGTTGTAAAACTAAAGATTTTCACATCATAATTTGCATTTCATTTCCTTAGTCATATTTCTGAAGCAGAATGAGATAGAATAGAATAGACTATTTCAGTTTGAAGGGACCTGTAATGATTGTCAAGGCCAACTGCCAGACCACTTCAGGGCTGACCAAGTTAAATTAGGTTGTTGTTAAGGCATTGCCCAAATGCCTCTTAAACTGGCAGGCCTGAGGCATCATCACCTCTCTAGGAAGCCTCTTTCTTTCTTTGATCACCCTCTCAGTAATGAAATGCTTCCTAATGTCCAGTCTGTACCTTCCTTGGTGCAGCTTTGAACCACTTCCATGTACAAACCTTTGTTAGTTCTAGTCCTGATGCAATTTTTAAAAGGTATGTGATTGACCAAAATGGAGTCATGTTTACATTTTAGATATCCTCCAACTTTTTAAGTTTCTGCTGTACTTCCAAAATGTATGGCTTGTACAGTTGTGTGTATTGAGACGTGAATCTATAAGCCTCTGTGAGCATCTGGGCTGTATTTGAAAGAATATATCCCGTCGTATAGTATCTTCATGCCTTCTGTAACTGTTGATGTTCTAGGATATTGTAGTTGTTGAGTTGTTCTTACAAACTTTCCCATTTTAAAGGAATCTAACACAAAATATTTCATTTATTTAAAAATGTATTGTAAATGCTGTTTTCTCTTCTAGTTGACTGTATAAAAACTTGGCCAGTACTTTATTTTTCCAAATCTATGTTTAGGTCAGAAATATGTTGTTATTGTTTATTAAATACAGAAGCCAAAATGTCTCAGCACTTTTGTTGTTTCTTCCAAGTCACGTAGTGTGTGACAACTTACACCCAAGCACACAAATCAGGTCTGTCTGGCTAAATATATATCTTGATATTGAAAAAATAATTTGTGTAAAATCTCAAAATAATTTCTAAGTAATGTTAGAGGCAAATACTTGTATGCCATTAATATATTTATTGAAATACTTACTTGCAATAAATACTTCAGTTGGCAGTAGACACAATCCAAAAGTCCTAACCAAACTCAGTACTTGGTTGTGTTGAGTTTTCCATAGAAGAAAAGATACATGTTGTTGTTAATATATACAAACAATAAAAAGCGGGTGGCAGGTCAGAATATGTAAATATAGGTGGTCACAGGAAAGGAGGGAAAAGAGACAGAGAAAATGAGACGGAAGGAAAATGAGATACATCAGTACAAGGAAATAATTGGAGGATGTATGTCATTATAGAAAGTGTTTTCACTTTTTTCCCTGGCAAGGCAGTGGCTGAAATTTTGGGAAGAGGTGCTTGTTGAAATAAAAATGAATGGAAATAGTGTGTGACTGCTAATTAAATGTGAGGTCTGGGAAAGAGGGGATTATATTTAATTAGATTTGTGAGCAATAAAGAAGTGCAACATCTTTTCTAGGGTTTCACTGTTCATATTAGGCAGCAGCAGAAAGAGGGTTTTTAATCTTTTTTGGAACTTCAGTCAATTCTGCAGTCTTCGCTTGTGTTCCTGGTCCTAAGTGTATGAAATCATTCATTGTCTTCAGGTTAATTTCCTACCAGCTGCAAAGACTTTGTGGATATTAAGATCAGTTTGACTAGTTATGATTAGGGGTGCTTCCTTTAGGCTCACCCAAAGCACATTAAAGGGAGTGGGAAAGTGTGTGAATGTGGGGTTGGACAGTGATAACCCTTGTCACTGCTTCATTATTCTGATCATATATGGAGTCTTTGGTACTGTCATGTTTTTTCATCAAACATTGTGTTCATTGTGAAACAAAAAGAAAGATTTTTTTTTTCACAGGAATCTATTTTTTTTCTCTAAAACAGCTTTTTATTTATTCATGTGAAATTCAAGAAGGAGAAATAACTGACCCTCAGTTTCACAAACCCTTACTTCTTTTCTCACGAGTTGAAATACTTGTTAAGCAGAAAGTACTTTAAGTTCTTTTTTTGTGGTATCTCATTCTGAAATTAACCATCTAGACTGACAGTATGCATGTGGTGCTATTTACTTATGAAGGTAGTGGTTAGTTGTGAACAAATTTATGCTATTCTTTCCAAAGAAACTGCTCACAGAATGAATGTAGCAAGTAGTAAACTACATTCTGTGAGCTTGTAGATGATGCTCTCTTCTTCATGAAAATATTTTTTCTTGAATGAAGGCGTTATAGTAGGTCACAAAAAGATCTCCTTAGCTGAACTATGACTTACTGTCAGGTGAAACTGGAAAGACCACTGTGCTTGCACAGTAGGAGATAGAGGGGCCAGTTACAAAATGTGTGAAGACTTTGAGGTGAAGGAAGTCTGTTTAAAAAACTGTAGGCTGATAAATAAAGTTAGATCAAAATAAGTGATTGCATTTTACTAATGCAGCTTGCTCTTACCAATCAATGGAACACATGTACCCCTTTAACTTTATGGTTGGTCCTAAACAAATTCAGTGGTTTGTATATAAATACAGTTCCTAGTGAATCATGTCAAGTATATAACATGCTTCAGTATTTTTAGTAAGAAATGGATTCCTAGTATTAAATTGACTGGGACAAGTGTTTTGACTTGTGGAGGTGAAATTTTCTATGTGCAAATTTTAAAAAGCCCATATGGAAGATGGAAAGGCCTTACATCTTCTGTGTCCAGCACACAGGAAAGGGTGTTAATCCATTGCAAGGCAATGCATCCTTGCCTAGCTGAAGACCAAATGACTCTGATCAAGTTTGTTTGATTTATCCTTACTTTGTGATCAGTAGCAAGTTGATGGCCAAATTAAATTGCTATATAAAGC